CTTCCCTTTCTTCAAAAATAATAGTCCATACTCAAAGTATTGGAGGGGCAAACCTGAAGGTTAAGGCACAAAATACATCTCCATTAAGAATGAGGACGCTAAAGACGTAAACAAGAGGGAAAAAAAACACTTAAAAATATCACTTTCTATTCAATAACAGACACCTCTAGATAAGGAATGAGAAAGATAAAAAAGAAAACCAAAAAAAAAACTTGTCACTTATCCCGTGCCTTTAGAGAAACATAGCATTTTTATTGCCACCGTGTTTAATTTTTCTGAGTTTTGATTCTTTTTTAATTTTTTTTTTCTTCTTCCAAATTTAATCCCCCCCCACCCTTCCTCCTCCTCTAAAGCAGCAGTGACCATGCCCTCCTGTCACCCAGGTGCTCGTTTATTGTCAGTTACATGGCAGCCATGTGGGAATGTTCTGGTTGGCCACGTAGTAGTTGCTGAAGTTCTGGTCCCGGACGTATGGCGCGGGCTGGTAGTAGCAGGTGACGCAGGAGGCGTCGGGGATGGCGCTCTGCTCGGCCAGAACGCGCAGCGCCATCAGCGACAGCAGGTGGAGCGTCTGCCGCCGCTCGTGGCCCATCAGGCACACCGTGCTCTCGTTCACCACTTTGCGCAGGATCTGGAGGTAGTCGTACTTGCTCTTCTCCTCGCCCACGAAGTGGCTCTGGAGGTAGGCCTCCACCTTGCGCTGCTGCTCGCCGATGTCGGGGAAGTCGATGAAGAAGCGGGAGCACATGTACCTCTCCAGGGCCTTGAACTCCTCCTGACTGGCCGGCCGGAAGTCCCGCACCAGCAGGTTGCAGTACTTGAGCAGGCCGCCGCCCCGGATCTCCTCGGGCCGCTTGGTGGCGATGAGCTTGTTGCGCAGGTGGCCGAGCGCGGCGTGGAAGTCCCCGAACACGCTCTCCCCCACCACCGTGGGGTGGAGGTCCCGGGACATGGGCGCCTTGGCCTGCTCGTAGTGGGAGAGCACGGAGTCCAGCACGATCTGGAAGGAGTCCACGCTGAACTCGAACTGCCGACGGATGGAGTCCACGAACTTCAGCTCCACGTTGCGGCCGTTGTTGTTGGAGAGGGAGATCAGGCTCCAGCGGTCCTGCTCCGTGTTCACCTTGACCAGCTTCTGGACGTAGGCCTCTTTGAGAGTCATGGGGGTGATTTTCTCTTTGTTCACGCCCTCGGGCAGAAAGTCCAGCAGGATCCCCAGGACGACGTCCTTAACCACCCTGAACTCCGACTCGTGGGGCAGGTCCACCCGGAAGATGACGTCCAGGTCCTTGTAGCTCCAGCCGATGTCCTGCACCAGAACGTGGCTGGCTGTGGACCCGTTCAGCCGGATGTCCTTCACCGTGATGCCGCTCAGCTCCAGACAGGCGCGCACTCGCACCACAATGTCACTCAACTGCACCTCCAGGGTGGGAAAGTTCCCTCGTCCATGAACAGGCACGACCTCAGTCAGAACTTCATTCAGACGGTTCACCTGCTCCCAGGTGAGAACGCTGACCGCACTGTTGCTTGATTCTTCCTTGTTATCCATCTTCTTGCAAAGTTCAGATTAACTGAGATGAAAGCACAGGGGAAATATCAGTAACGGTTCTTAACTGTGACACAAACATATCAAAATATACAAACAAAACTATTTTCTTTTTTTAAAAGTTTCATTCTAAAGACCTTCTAAACTTTTCCGGAAACGGCTTAATGTAGAAATTTTGAGTAAACACGTCAAAACGTAACCGAACATAAGCGGCCATAAATGCATGGAAGCGTTAAAAGCACGAGCAGAGCAGAATGTGGGCACGAGACGACCTGCACGCCCTGCGTTCCACGCGCACAGAGCCCGTGAGCCTTCTAGAACGGCTCACCGCGCGAGCCCGGCTTTTATTCCAGAACCCCGGAGAGACACACACACCGAGCGGGCTTTAAGTCCACAAAAGCCGCTGTTTTTCTCAACCCGCCTCGTTCACGGGGGCGACAGCTCACCGAACCGTTAGTCAAAAACATTAACTGCAATTATCTGCTCCAGGTGACACCCAACGGGAGCAACACGAGCTTCTACCGCATCGAACCGCTAACGTTACTCGGTTCAAACGGCTCACATTTAAATCTAACTCGCCATGTTGTTATGCTAGCAACAAAACGGTACAATTTATCACATTTTGCTCCATATGGCAGAGTCCCGAGCAGCTATGCAAATTGCCATGACTTAGAGACGTGGAGACATCACATATTCGTTTTACGCTAAAATATTCGACCACTGTTAGGTTTTTTTAAAGTCACTTTTAAATTGAGTAAAATTTAAATTAATCACCCAAACTTAACCACGCAACTTTCCTGGCGAGGAGACTTTAAACGCAACTTCGCGGAATCAATTTAAAAAGCATAAATGCAGTACATACATCACCAAAAGTCGTGCTCTGGAAGCATTCAAAGTCCAAAAAAGATGTCAAATTCGCCAACACGCCTCCACATAATCCACAATCCGACAGACACACGAACACTTTAAAAGTCAGCGTTTGAACCACAACCTCCGCAGAAGACACGCCTGTTTATAAAGCCGAAGTACTACCCACCGAAATAAATGCGCCGTCGCGGGACACAGTTCCTGTGACAACGTGCGACCTTTTTTTTTTTTTAAATCCAAACTTGCAAAGTGACTCATAAAATGTCAGAAACCTCAAACCTAAAACAAAACACTTACTTCGTCCGTATAAAGCAGCACACACTTTCATTGTCGGAGGATCACAGTCAGAAAACGATAGTTAGTGTACCAATGCGCCCAAAGAGGCATCTGATTGGACAATAAGGATTTTGAGTTGCCTAGTAACCAGGAGCGCCTCCACGCAGCCTGCTATCCATGAGGTCATCGCTGTCTCATCGTCCAATGCCGTTGTCAGAATTAACATTTAGCATGGTTTAAAAATGTTAATGGCATTATACAGAATACATTCTTCTTTTATGTACACCTGTATTTTGTATGATAACACAAATGAACACAAATAAATGCATTTATATTCACAGGCTGGCAATAAGAAAAGCAAAATGTGATTAAAATTTGAGTGGAAAATGTTCAGTGTGATACATAAATTGTATCTCAGACATGTTGTGGAATATTTTACGGCACCATGTTGATGGGAAATTATTTCTTATAAGTGATAGGTGCCTAAATGGCAGAGTTGGCACCATTATTTCACTTTACTGGTGGTTCCTACCAGCAAGCGGGTTCCCGGTTTAAATACAATTCTTTCTGTGTGGAGAAAGATGCATTTGGGCACTGTATAGAATATGGCTAGAAATGAGACAAAACAAGATCTAATTTTTGTTACAGGTATTAGATGGGGATTCATTTTGAAAAGTTTATCTAATAGATTGGCAACTCAAAATCATGTGTAACCGACCTATTGCTGTTGGCCTACTAGCGCAGTAAAAAGAGTTACAAAATTTAAGTTAATCAGATGTCCTGAAAAGTCCCGGAACCGACCTTTAGAGTCCAGATAAACTGACAAGTGCCAGCTTTTGATTGTGAGTCGACTCATAATAGTTTGTAGACTTAGTTAAACGTACGGTAAACTGTTATCTAGTATCAGTTATCAGTTATTTAGTATCTTTGCTACTCTGCAATTTCTTGATGATTATGACACACAGGTTGCAGGTGCTCTCCACTGTCCGCTGATTTCTGTGGAAGTCGGTCAATTTTCAACAGAATATCAAAAAACATTCCTTTCTTCCTCGCTTAATTGCCAACACGCGTTCAAGATGTCCCCAGTGGAGGG